AGAAGCGAGGCGAAGGAGGAATCGGCGCCCTCCGACAAGCCCCAAGATGCTGTTGCCGACACTCTTCAGGAAGCCATCACCCCACTCCGAGCACAACAGCAGCTGCCGATGCATCTGAAAGCACTGACACCAAGTTGCAGGTGCGCGCACTGTGTGTGTGTGTGCATGTGTGTGTGTGCATGTGTGTGTGTGCATGTGCATGTGTGTGTGTGTGTGTGCGTGTGTGTGTGTGTGCGTGTGGGTGTGGGTGTGTGGGTGTGGGTGGGTGTTTGTCCGTTTGTGTGCCGTTTGGTGCTCACTCACTAGTACTTCCTCACTTCCACTTTCCACTTTCGTTGATGCTGTTGCGCTGCACTACAGGCATGCCGTGCACCTCGTGCGTGTCCAACATCGAGGGCGTATGCCCGGCGCGCACGGCATTGTGTCGTGTGGGCCTGCTGGCTGGCACCGCGACGGTGGAATACGACTCCGCGACGGTGAAGCCCTGCAGCCATCATCGCCAGCATCGGCAAGGTCGGCGGATACAAAGGCCCACCAGGAATCGCACACATTCAGCACAAGGCATGACGTACCTCAGCATAAGGTATGCGATGTGCGCGGCACTGCATCTCTGCTTGTCTGGTTTGCTTGCATGCACGCACGGTGGCTTGAGTGTACGCATGCCTGCTTTCCACTTCAACCACTCATCATGCTGTTACCGCCGCCGTTGCTGCTGTTGGCCACGCATGACAGGCGACGCTGAGAGCCCTGCCTGCCTGGTGTTCAAATGGTGCATGTTGATGATGCGTTGGGCCGTATGGAAGTCAAGCACGAAACCGATGCAACAGGACCCACGCAACATAATCATGTGTGTATGTGTGTGCGTGTGTGCGTGTGTGTATGTGTATGTGTGTGTTTGCACTTGTACGTGTCGCTTCGTCTCATTGCATCCCCCCCAAACCAGCCGAACTCATTCATGCCTTGTTTGTGTCTGTCTTTGCTACCACGCCTTGCCACCCATCACCACTTGCTCACAAGAATGCTCTGTGTTCTGCACTTCACACAATACCGATGTGACTGCAGCGCGCTGAAGGATGCTGGGGCACGCGACACGAGGGAGCTGGAGCACGAATCGCCACCTACAAGAGCGAGATCCGCTTCTGCCCCATCACCTTCATCGTGTGCATCACCGTGTTCGTCGCGTCGATTACCATCGTGGCCGCGTGTGGCCGGACTCCTGGGGATGCGCGCATGATCGATGACATGTCGCAACACAACCTCATTCTCACGCTGCTGGGTCTGATCTCCTTCATTTCCCGGTCGGCCGTTTCTCGTCTCCGCGGTGCGGTCCACCATGCACGGCGCTGCCAACATGAATGTGGTATGTATGTGTGTGTGTGTGTGTGTGTGGTTTGTTGCGACCACTTCCGCTTGTTCTGTTCACGTCCACCACTGCAGTGAATGAGTGAGCGTGATGCGTGCCTTCTTTGCTCACGTTTGCTTGCGTGTCGCTGATCCACCCGCACTTGCTCTTGCGTTGGTGCAAATTCACCACAGGGCTGCGTACTTGTACTCTCCCTGGTGGTGCTCATTGTTGCAGCCGCCTCCCACAAGGACTCTGACTGGTGGTGGTGGTGGCGACCTCTTCTTTGGAGACCGGCATTCTCCCTCTTCACCTTTGTGTCGCTCGGGCAGTACATCGAACACCTCGCCAAAGGCAGCACCTCCAGCCTGATGAAGGAAGGTATAGTCAAAGGCAACCGCGTGGAGGAGTGAATTGACACCGAGCTCGTGCAGCGCGGCGAAAAAACTCAAGTTGCGTGATGAGGGTGTGGGGGTTGGAGTTGGTGGTGGTGCTTACTTGTGGTTGTCGTTGATGGGCGGGTGGTTAGTTGTAGCTGCAGCAGCAGCAATGTGGCAGTTGTCACAGCCCTCAGCTGCAGTTGTAGCAGCCGCCAGATAATGCACTTTCATTGCATCTCGCTCACCTTCCCTCACGTTCTTGTTGGCAGATGGTGGCCGGTGACAAAGTGCCTGTGAATTGGATGGACGCACGCGTGCCAGAGACTGCAGGTGAAACGGACGAGGCCATGATCACGGGGGGGAATCGAATCCTGTCTCGTCTCCAAAGGCGTTGATGACATTGTCGTATGGGCGGCACCATGGTGCATCGTTTTTGAGGCCACGCATGTTGGCAGTGTGTCAAAGGCGCCCATCCAGCAGGTGTGTGTACGGGATACGACACGCTACACCACCGTTTCACACGTGCCTGTCAATGTTTCTGCAGACATTCCCACTCACACATACCCACACACCCTCTCCTTTCCTTTCCCTCCTTTTTTCTTTCCCAGACAAGCTGGCGAGGCGCTTTGTGTCAGGCATCGTGTTGCTGTCAGTGTGTGGGTTACGCTGCTGACCTCGGGTGCCGCTGACACATTGGAGCTCACGTTCAGTGTGTGTGTGTGTGTGTGTGTGTGTGTGTGTGTGTGAGAGTGAGTGAGTGTGTGTGTGTGTGTGTGGTGCTTCGTACTGGTGCTCGCGAGTTGTGGTTAGAGAACACTCACACACACACACACACTCACACACACACACACACTCACACCTCCATGCCCCCACACACACACACTCACACACACACACACACTCACACCTCCATGCCCCCCCCCACACACACACACACACACACTCTCACCCACTCTCTCAACTCTCCCTCCTCACAGGCCGTGCTTGACAAGACGGGCACGCTGACGGTTGGATCGCCACAAGTCACGTGCGTGCGCGTGCTCGGTGATGACGACACGTGGATGGAGGAGGACACCCTGTTGAAGCTGGTGACGGCTGCAGAGGCAAACAGCGAGCATGCCCCTGGGCCAGGCGATTATGGTGCACGGCGGCGCTGTCTCCCGCGACGGACTTCACAGACGGTCTCTGGTCGGGGCATCTCAGCAACCTTAGACAGCAAGCCCATTGCCTTTGGCATGCCCATTGTGGAATTGGCATGCCCACGCCATTAGCGGCAAATAGCGGCAGACGATGCACGAAGGCGACGAGACGCGTGGCTACACGGTTGTTGGGTGCTCGGCCAACGGCAACCTTCTGCCCAGGCTATGTGGGGTCTCGCTGACATGTACAAGCCCCAACGGCGAAGAGGGCGGTGCGCCTGCTGCGCCCGCACGGCCTGACCATGGCCATGCTCACGGGCGACAAGGAGGGCACTGCGCGGTCCATTGGAGGCAGAGGTTGGCATCGACAACGTGCTCGCAGCAGCGTGCAGGAGCTGCAGGCGAAAGGGCGAGGTGGTGGCAATAGTTGGCAACGGCATCAACATTGAGTCAGCGGACGTCGTTCTGATGATCAAGGACAACCTGCTTGCTGGAGGTGCTTTTGGCCATACACCTGTTGCGTGCGGCCGTGCGCCTCCTCCACTACAAGGTTCATCTGGGCCGTGTGGTGCAGGTGGTGGATGCTGCGACGCGTGCGCTGCTGTTGCATCCTTGAGCAACCCCCGCTGACGTTTGTGGCTTCGCGGCTTTGCGGCTGCAGCCATCCACTGGTCGTGGCAAGTGGCCACCTGTCCAGCGACACCAACGACGGAGTGCACACGATCCGCCAAAGCACCAGCGTCCACGTCTCGGAGATCCAATCCATTGCAACAGCCACTTCGTCACCTTCTCCTGTGCGCCTGTGGCATCATTTTGGCGAGGGCCATGGCTTCATCGGCACCATGAGCGTGTCTGCGAGCAGAGATCACCACCTGCTTTGTCGGAAGGCCGGTAGTTTTGACGGTGTTCAGCCTGGCCTCGTCGTCGTCGTCGTCGCGCGTGTTCCTGATCCACAGCCCTCTTGCAGCAGGGCGCTCGTGCTCGCTGCCGGGTACGGTGGCGCAAGTGTTTGGGACCTGGACAAGCCCCTGCCGTGTGGCCGCGCTGCCGCCTTCCGTTTGGTGGCCAGCACAATCGATCAGAGGCAACAGCGGGGTGTGCACCAGCTCCGCAATGGGGAGCGTGTCCTGACCACGTACACCCTGGAGCAGTGGAACATGACAAGTGTTGTCATTGTGCTGTGGAGCATGCGAGGCTGGCAGCCATCACTCAGCACCACGCCGGCCAGTGCCAGCTTTGAATCAGCCACATCAACACGCGACGCCAAGCACGTTCTCCTGTATGGCCGAGCTTCGCGGTGCCGGCTGTGTATTGTGTGCTCACAAGCTTCAACAAGGGCAACACCACGGCCATCACAATCCGCCTTGTTGGCCATCTAGATTGACCCAAGACACGATGCCTGGTGCTGTTGTCCTTGTCACCCACCACGTCGAGGCTGTGCCCTGAGCTCCCAATCGCACGTGTCCAATTTACTGTGGCAGCGTTGCTGAGCTGCAGCGAGCCGTGCGCATGTTCCCTGCCACCGTGAGCGCCGCCGTTCAGGATGCCGAGACAGACACGCCTCTGCCTCTGTTGTCGATTGCGGCCAACAAGGCCAGCCACGTGCCCGCACTCCGTGCCAGCGTGTCCTGGCTCGACTGCCGCCATGGTGCAGTGTGTCGTGGACAAGGTGTGTGAGGCCATCAGGGCCTTCAACCTCGGAGGGCAACAAGCCCTGACAGTGAAGCCCTGGTCATTGCGCGTCGTTCCTGACGCGCACCCTCGTAGCAGACGTCATTGTGCTGATGCGCACGTTTCCAAGCGAGCTTGCGCTTGCGACCTCCACCGCCGACAAGCAGTACAACCACCAGCAGCGAGCATGATTGTCTCACTGAGCCAGACAGGCCATTCATCAGCGAGATGAGCAGCCATGCGTGTTGGCACAAGCTGCAGAAGTTGTCTGGTGAGCTAGCCAAGCTTAAGGACGCTGGGGCGCGCGTGGTGCCACTTGGCGCGTGCAGCTGGGTTTGTGAATGATGACGCTGGTGGACAAGGGCGACGCAGAGCTGTTTGGCAGCTTCATTGTTCGCGTGAGCGCCAGTTTTATGTGGGAGGCGGCGAGGTGGTACATGATCACCGTCGTCCTCATCAGTGGCAAGGACGTGGCCCAGCTGCTGCTGGGAGTTGGTGAAAACAAGTCGGTGGTGATCATGCTGATGCTGGCTGATTGTGGACATGGTGCAGGAGGTGCGGCAGTCACGGCTGTTTGGAAGCGACGAATGTGGTGTTGGTGTTTGTGGTGCGTGGCACGTGCTCTTCCCAGCACGCACTCTTCCCAACACATACTCTTCCCACCACGAACCCTTCCCAGCACGCACACACGTTCCGTTCCTCTGCGGTACCACCTGCACCCGTTCCGGCCAGCGCATAATCCTGACCATCTGCTTCGACATGCGCCACTTCCTGCTCTGCATCAGCAATTTGGCTGGGTGGACGTCGTTCCGGTTGCTGCTGCTTAACGACAACACGTTGTCGGCCAACGGCCTTGCTGCTCGTGTTCAACAACATGCTGCTGCTGGCGGACGTTGACCTGTGGATACCTTTGACGGCAACTACAGTGGTGGTGCTGGCTGCTGCGCGTCCCGCTTGTCATTTCCATGGTGCTGAACCTGCTGTTTGGGCTCACGTCGGACTGCGCAGACATTGAGTTGCAGCTGCTGCGTGGCTGACGCAGCAGGAGCAGGAGGGGGATAGATGTGCGACGCTTCTTTCAAGCGGTGGTTACACGTGAAGTGGCAGGGTGTGCTGCGTGCGCTGAAAAAAGGAGATGCAGCACAGCACGTGCAGAACAACGTTGCCGACCATCACAGAATGAAATGTGACATGTCTTGCAGTTGATGGGTTGTGATGGGTTGTCTTTGCGTTGGTGTTGGTTTATTGCTTGCACTTTGCGTCGTTCCAAACCCCGCAATACATGCATGCTGAAGACACGTTCACTCATACGTACACACAATGAGCAAGCAAGTGCGCATGCATACACACACACACGTGCAATCAAGCAACAAAGTGGTGGTCCATGAGTTCTCCAAACGATGGACGCTCACGCGGATTCTGCGCCATGCGGTTGTACGTCAGCGACTGGAACCACTCGGGGATGGCTAAGGAGAGAGTGGTGTGTATGTGTATGTGTGCGTTGTGAGGAAGGACGTGCAAGCAAGCAATCCAAGGACACACACATGCACACACACACATACACACACACAACTCACCATCTTCTTCACCATCATCAAATCGCAGCCGCTTCCCATCCTTCATCAGGTTGCTGATGGTGGCGAGGATCGGTCCCCGATACTCGCTCCCCTTCTCCTGCTCAATCAAATCCGGCACACGCCGTGTCGCCATCTCCCACATCAGCACACCAAAGCTGAACACATCTGCCTCAAAGCTGTATTTGTCGCCCGCCAATGCCTCCGGCGCCATGCACAGTGGCGTGCCCACACCAGCCGTCAGCGTTATGCTCGGCATCGTCTGCAAACCAGCCTGCTGGCTGTACTGAGGGTCATCATCATGGCTGGAAGAGAGACATGTGCGCTGCTGGTGCTGGTTTCTGTCACGTGTGAAGCACTGGCGAATGGACCCAAAGTCCGTAATCTTGGCGCGAAGCGATGATGACACCAGCACGTTGCCACGCTTCAAGTCCCTGTAAAGTGGATGGTGGATGGGTGGGTGGAGATGAAGGGGTGAGCAACCTAGCAACAAACACGTGCCTACACACACACACACACACACACACACACACACACACACACACACACACACACACTCACACACACACACACACACCGATGCATCTGTTCGAGGATGTGGTGGTGTGGAGGTGTGAGTCAGTGGCAGCTGCAAGTGCGACCGTGAACAGAGCAGAGGGCACGTTGTGACAAAGAAGCAAAACGCGAGGATAACAAGAACACAACAACAACATCAAGCACACACACAGACACACACAGACACACACAGACACACACAGACACACACAGACACACACAGACACACACAGACACACACAGACACACACAGACACACACTCACACTCAGAGCATCCTTCAAGCAGCCATGATGCCATGGACACGAGTCACCGACAAGGCTGCCAACAACAACAACAACAACAACAGCAGTGGTGGAAACTGCAAGCACAGCGCCCAGCGATGATGAGGGCGAGCAGCAGCAGCAGCAGCAGCTGGGAGAGGAGGAGGAGGAGGTCGCATGTTGACACCAAAGGAAGGACAGGGAATGGAAGCAAGGAAGGTGGAAGAAAGAAAAAGCACACAAGAGAACAACAAAACAATACACCAGGGAAGGAAAGGATTCCCAGTTTTGCTGGCTGTGTTTCCTTCTGCGCAAACACTTTCCTTCCTCGCTTGGAATAATTTAATCGCCCTGCGATGATTTGCTTTGCAAGAGAAGGAAAATCCTGGGACTTTTGGCAACACACGCAAGTTGGCCAGACTGCAGAATAGAAAAAACGAGGTGTGCGCTTTGTTTGGTGTGCTTTGTGCTGTCGCGCACGTTGGCTTGGGCTGGTTGTGGATCAACAACAGCACTGTCGCTTCCACACTGCACACCACATCAGTTCCTGCTGCTCCCATCATCATCACCCGCACAGACAGCGAACCACGGCGTGATTCCAAATGTGTGCTGCAGCTGCTACCTTCTTCCACCTCATCGTTTACTTCCAAACGATGATAACCACTGCCAGTACACAAACAAGGACGCATGCTGACACCCAGAACAGCAGCAAGCAGCAACAACCGTGAAGGCAACTTGCGCAGTGTAGCGACATCTCTTTCCTGCACTCCGTGCACGGCCACACCTCACTTCCCTTTCCTTCATCGTTATCATCATGGACGGCAACCTTTCTTCGTGCTGCACTGGCTCAACAGTCGACCAACCCGCAAATCT